CCCACGCACACCCTCTGTCATGTCAGAAAAAATTTTTTAACCAAGGGAAAAAAAAACCCCCACATCAGTTCTCCCCCGGGTAAAGTGTGAATTGCCCTCCCAAAACCCCGGCCCTTAAACTTAAAAGGACATTTTTGAAAAGTTAAGCCTGTTTTTTTTTCTTTTTTGTTTTTTGTTGGGGGTGGAAAAAAACCCTTTTTTAAAGCTGGGGGGGGGGGGGGGTTGGTCTACACAGGGGAGGCTCCGCCCAAAGGGGGTACCTTTTTCAGGCTTCAGGTCAGGAAAGGGCAGGGATTTCACTCATTTTGGTCTGTATAATGGCCCAAACGGGCTGACAGATGCATTTTATGGCTGCGAGAAACTCGAAGTCGAGAAAACGTTCTGGTTTTGTGACTTATTCCTATTTTACAGTCAGTGCATTAACAGCAGGGGTACCATTTGTCAAAAGAAGGTATAAGAAAGAAGTACCTTTTTTGCCAAAAATGGGATAATTATAAAAGGGTAAGGGGTTGGACCTCAGGGCAAAGCCTCCCCGTGTAAAACTTTCTTGAGTACCCTCCCCCCCTCCCCCCTCCTGCTGTAAGCTGTTTCTGGACTTTCTATGCTTAATTTGATCTTAAATTTATCGAACGAGTTTGTTTCAATATTTTACAACAATGAGAGCCAGAATCAAAATACAGGTACCTTACGTTACTGTACATAGAAATATTGCTAAGGAGCTCTTCCCTGCAAACTTCCATTTCAACTGTGCATTCGTCGGCCTCGTACTGTCGTATTACCTAAATAAACAATCCATAACAATTCATATATAAAGAACATGCAAACAAAGCAAGACATAAAGAAAGTAACTGTACAAATTTTATTTCATATCCATCAGTTTTGATAGCCTACGTTGCTTTCGGAGAAGCACGTTTGATATTAGATCAAGAAGGGCTCCAAAAATGCTTTCGCAACTGGGCACAATTCACTTTCCCACCTCCATACCCCCTCCCTCCCCTCCCTGATGCTCAGCGTGATTGCCACTTAAATAAAGCTTTGCCGGGGCGTTCAATTATTCCATACGTATAACTGAATATATTATTAACGATATATTTTAGCTGTAAACATGTTTATACGGACCTTTTTAAGCAATTTCTTAGTCTAATTTATTCTTTGGTTGTAAATTTGTCTACGTTTGAAAAAAAGTATTAAAATACAGGCATTGAAGTGTAATCGTATCCCGCTTGGCATCAGTCAATAAGACAGTAAGATTAAGTAGATCCTCCAAAACCGTAATACGAAATTCAACAACAGGTGTAAAAAAGGTATAATTAAACAATCTGCTGAGCGAATGCAACAACCCTGTGTGTCTGTTTGCCCAAGAGCATGTAACACACCCTGCCTAAAATAATTAGGAGCCTCTCTCTGATCCAACCAGGACATGAAAATTAAGAATCGGACCCGGCCTTCTGGCAGCTTAACAAGATGACATTTTACTCAGAACCTAGCGACTGTTTTCATATTCTATTTACATACATTGTAATTGTCTAGGGTACATTTCAAGAGCATTTATGTTAATAACCGCTTTAAAACTGAAAAATTACTGAGTCCCCTGGACACCTGATAAATCCTACAATTACAGACAACAGGTGTTTGTTCGCAGGTGGCAACGAAGTACCAGCTGTTTAGGCGTTTACTGTTTGGTGTTGTGTTGGAGACTTAAATATAAAGTCCGATGTATGTAAACTAAAACTATATAGTTTACGCCCAGCTCAGTAAAACAATATATAAAATCATATACTTTTAGTCGTTTTGTTCAATAATAGGCCTTTCACGTTTTCTGTTAATAAGATAAAATGCGGGTAACACTGGTTAGGCCCTTCCTTAGCTCGTTAGCTTTCATAACAAAAAAAAACTTAATACTTACAAAATTAAATCAGAGCTATGGAGAACTTAATTTGTGAAAGAATTAGTGAGGTGGCATTAATATAAATATAAACAGACAAGATTGTTGAAAACGAGACAAATATAAGTGAAAGCTTTAGGTTTCTTCATTTTTTTGTTTTTTTGAGTTTTTTTTTTTTTTGGGGGGGGGGGGGGGGTGTTGTATATGAGATGGAACTTTTTGGTTAAAAACCGGGAAAAAGAGGACCGCACGCTCTCTAAAGAAGAATGTAGAATTATTTTCTCAAAAAAAAACCTCTTCAGGGGTGCCAAA